AATCTTAAAGTGAAATAAAAAGGGGCCACCTGGGTGGCTCAGTTGTTAAGCATCTGCTTTCGACTCAGGTCATGATCCCAGGGTCCTAGGATCAAGCCTCTCATTGGGCTCCCTGCTCAGGGGAAGCCTGCTTCTCCCTCTCCCTCTCTCCCTTCCCCTGTTTGTGTTCCCTCTCTTGCTGTCTCTCTTGCAAATGAATACATAAAATCTTTTAAAAAAATTATTTCAATTTGTTGGTAATTTAATAACATTTTATTCCAGAACTAGAGCCTTGTTTCCTCTTTCACTGACCTGAAAATCTGTAATTCCTATAATCCTTGGGAATCTGCAGCATGAAAATATCTTAATTTCTTGAACTGCTATCTAAAATTTCTAACTACTTATCTGTAATTAATCTCAGTCCATTCTTAGAGTGAATTAAGGACCAGTTCTTTATTTTTTTTTTAAGGCTTTAATTTGATATAGTATTCTCCCAGCTTAAAAGAAAGGTCATTTAAAATGAAAGTCTAAGAATGTTTACTAGAAATAGGACATAGATAAAGCAGTGAAAGGCAGTTATTATTTTTAAAAAGTAACAGTTTGGGGAAGAGTAGTAGGGAAAAAGAAATAACCTTATCTTTGTAAAAGTGAATTTTCTCCTGTTCTAAAAGGGAAAGCTGCAGGGGTTAGATCAAACGGCGGTCAGAAGCAGTACCCCCTACTAAATGCGATTGCATCTGAGCTCATAAACAAGAAGACGCTGAGACTGGATGTCACAGACTTGATTAATTTTCAAGTAGGGCAAATACAAACAGGGAAGACTGATGCTCTGATTTTCCTAATTAACTCAGATGATTCATAGTGGTTTAATAGCTGGGATCGCCACTCTTCCATTACACAGATGGGCAGGAGCTTGCTTTTTGGGAAATGATCTGACAGTTACGATGCACAGGCAGGGTCCTAAGAAACCTGACTTTCCAAGAGCTCTGCTTCTAATGCTGGGGTTTTTACTCGAATGAATTCTCACTCTGTTCCAGCTCCATACAAAAGAAATAGGCAGATCAAAATGTTCACACTCGGGCTTTCCAAAGGCACAAACAGAAATATATATATTTTTTTAAATAATTTTTTTCCTTAAAGATTTTTTTTTTATTTATTTGACAGACAGATCACGAGTAGGCAGAGAGGCAGGCAGAGAGAGAGAGGAGGAGGAGGCAGGCTCCCCACTGAGCAGAGAGCCCGATGCGGGACTCCATCCCAGGACCCTGAGATCATAACCCGAGCTGAAGGCAGAGGCCCTAACCACTGAGCCATCCAGGCGCCCCGGCACAAACAGAAATATTAATGCTAGTCCACAATTTCCACGTAAAGATTAATTTAACTGACAATTATCAATGATAGGAATGAATGTTATTGGGATCTGAGGAATATATTATTAGTGTTCATTTGCCCATACCCTTTTTAATGGACATTAAAGGATTAAACGGCTTCTGAAAAAAGTGGCAGAATCTGGATATCAGGTACTGTGTTGTTTTGTTTTGTTTTGTTTTTTACTGCTTTAGTAGACCAGTGGATGTTCTTTCTGCCAGTCTCTCAAATTCTAGATTTTGCTGTAGGAACATGTGTTTTGGGGAGTTCAGCATGCAAAGATCCCTTTTTGTACCTGCAGAACCAACACATTTGTTGAGAATAGAAAGGGCCATGCTTTGACATTTTCCAGCTTGTTATCTATTTAATTTTCCATCTGCTTCTTTTGCCACTGCCTTCCAAAGGAACATCTGCTGCACATCTGAGAGAAGGGAAGGAGGGAAGGAATATTGGATTCATGCCACCTGGGTCTGCAGTCCTAAACCTTGGGATTCAGATTAAGGGAAGGGAAGAAGACTAACAAATGCTCCAGAAAATGAAATGAGGACAAACAGTCTGTTAAGAACAAAGCTTTATTTCCATTTATTGCAGAGCCCACATGACCAGGCAAGCTGGACAACAATGTCTGCCATCAGCAAGGGCTCGGGCAGAGGCAGGCTGCTGATGTCTAGGGGAAGGCAAGAGCAGTTTCTGGAGCTCATACGCGCCCTCTGGTGCCTGAATTTCCCCTCCTCATACCTGCAGCTCACATACCCTGTAAGCATTTATGGGGCAGCTACTCCGTTTACGGAGCCAGGCTCTGTTCTGGGCTTTCTGGAGGCAGAGATGATTACAAGATATATTTCCTATCTTAAAAGAATTGGCCTAGGATGAGGGAGATGGGCAAGTAGACAGCAGATTACAACATACAATAATAAATTCTGCATGCTGGCTGGAAGCACAGAGAAGGGAAAAGACATATGTGCTTAATCCTATGAAGCAAAATGGTGGCTCAAGAAAAGGAGAGGCACTACAGAGACAGTGCCGTGAGCAGAGTCTGGAAGGATGAACAGGAACATTAGAAAACATGCTCTTTTTTTCTCCTTAGGATCAAGAAGTAACACGTAACAGCCCATCTTCATATTGACTCCAAAAACTGAATGCCCCAAAACCTTAATCCCGCCCGCCACCCCTCTCAGTGTCCATCCAAGCATCAGTGATTTTATCCAGCGTACTAGCTGGTTGTGCCATCTTTTAATATTATCTGAAGAATCACTAGCGAGCATAGCAAAGTCCTATCAGAGTAGAGAGAAGTTTTGGTGGAAGAACAATTTGCCACCACGGAGTCATCGATTGTTGGATTTTAACTGATTTTAACTGTCCTTAAATATCGAACTTTGGCATCACCGAAATCGTGATATCTAAGACCACAATAGTCAAGCCAGTTACATTTTTAGACTTAGAAGTTTCTCTGCAATCAAGTATTGAGTGCACATCTGGTATGGGCACCATGAGACACACAGAAATATAAGGCATGACCTTTGAGTCTAGGAAGCTAAAATCTAATTGCGATGATAAGCAATTAGTTCTTTAGTTCTGACGTGACAAATACTTAACATTTAACTGAGAAAAGAGTGAGGCTAATGTGAGAATATTCAGTGGATGTATGCTTTCTTTACTTTCCAGGCCCTCTACAAATAGGTGTAAAATTTTATCATTCTCTGTAGTCACAGGGTATACCGAGATGCAAATGTAATTAGCATCATCTCTGACTACACTAATATGTTGTCTTGATATCTTAACACATTTTATATTTTTATTTTTTTAATAAATTTTATTTTAAAAATATGCTTTCACAAAATGCGAATGGCTGGGGAAAAAATCAAGCACACCATTTTTTCTGTCACACATTTTCTTTTGAAAAGAAAGCTTTCCTTGGGTGCCTGGGTGGCTCAGTGGGTTAAAGCCTCTGCCTTTGGCTCAGGTCATGATCCCGGGGTCCTGGGATCGAGCCTCGCATCGGGCTCTCTGCTCAGCAGGGAGTCTGCTTCCCCCCCCCCCTCTGCCTGCCTCTCTGCCTACTTGTGATCTCTCTCTGTCAAATAAATAAATAAAATCTTAAAGAAAAAGAAAAGCTTTCCTCAATTTAAAAACACACTGAGGAATAATTTTTTGAAGTTTTTATTGCTATTAAGTAGCAAGCTATTTGATGAAACTAAATATTTGGTTATGTTTACCTTGAATTAACTCACAGAAATCCTTAGGTTATTTTAAGCATCTAACGTTTCAGCTTGTGGTTAGTTTCTTAGGTGGAGTTTCAAGGCCTTAAAACTTTAAGTTTAAATCAGATCATTAGATGCGATAGATAAGAGAATTCCCTATGTTCATCTATGAGAATGGACTTAAACTAATGATCGAAACATTTCATGATTTCAAAGTAGAAACAAAAGGAGGATTTCTATGGCATTAGGTGATTGGGGCACCCGAAGAAAAATCCCAAAGTGATTTCTATCAATAGGCCACGATCCATTATGTCCTAATTTAGGGTTGGTAGAAACACAGTATATTTTTGAGTTGGACTGTATGCCTGAGTTATCGTCTGATTTGTAAATGAGAAAACTAGGACCCAGAAAGATTAAATAATTACGTCTTCATTTTCTGGGTTTATAACCGTGACCTGAGATTCCTCAGCACATCATAACCTCCAGCATTATCTTGTCACTGTTATTCCTTTGGTTTTATATTTTCATCCATGAAAAAAAATCATTTAGGGACAGAGCTAGATCAATGTGTTTCTTAGCTGAACTCATATTTATCATCTCCACCCTATATTCTGGAAAATCAGGTTTGGCTGGCTGGTCTCGTGACCTGAACGAGTGCTCTGACACTTCTTCCATGCTAGCCTGCTTTTCTTTTCTTTCTTGGTTCTCTCTGAGACTGTAGAAGACAAGAACAGCATAGCACCATGCACAGCCCACCTGTCTCCTAGACTAAACTTGGCAAGTATAGCTATGGTGTTTGTGATGATCACTGGTAGACTTGGGGCTGTTTGAAGCCCTGGTGCTTTTGTGGCTGAGTCTGATGCAAATGAGGCTCAGGTAAGTTCCTGAGGGAGGGACTGAAGCAGATTTAGTAAACTGTTTAAATATTCTGTGCTTAACGTTTTCTGAATTGGGGGATAACTACACATAATTTCCTTTGGCTTCAGTATAGACAGAGCAGGCATAATAAATACATCAAGAAGGAACTAAGCCAATTGCTGAAACGTGACTACATTTAGTTGATAACAGAAAAAATAAACAATGGCATCGTCATTACTTAAATGAAGCACAGAACAGACTCTGAGTTAATCACTTACCAACCTTCTTCACCAGATAATATTCTTTTCCTTTTCTACCAATGTCTGTTCCATAATTCCAGTGGGTTTTTTCCTTTTTCCTAATATTGAGGCAGGTGCACTGGGAGATGAGCTAGGTATTCCTGTTAGCTCTACAGCTCTGATATTCAACTTCTGGTGGGCGGGAAGAGCACTGCCCCCACCTCCATGGTCAACATGTCTTCTGTCCCTGATTTCTCCTCGAAGATTAATCTGAAATTGAAGGGTACGTGGGGGAAAACCATTTCTGGATATTCTTCCTTACTATACTTCTAATTGCCTTTGCTCTCATCCTTAGGACTACCAAGAGGCCTCTAATTTGGAACAATTTGTAACTCGATTTTTATTGAAGGAGACCTTGAATCAGCTGCAGTCTCTCCAAAATTCTCTGGAATGTGCCATGGAAACTACTGAGGAACAAACCCGTCAAGAAAGGCAAGTTAAATATTTTCATATATCTCTTTAGTGATGGTGAAAGAACAGTTGAGGGGCATCACGATTAAGCTAGTGAAAACTAAAAATGAGAATTAATAAGTTTAAAGAGAATAACAGGAACCTCCTTTAGGTGCTCGCCTTGTATTTGCCTCTAAAAGCAGCCATTCTATTTTTACTGTCCATCATTTATTCAAATTTAAATTGCAAATTTAGTAGATGGAGAAGACTTTAAAATACAGATACATTTTACATAGTCCTGACTCTTCAGCAGACTAAAGTCTACTAAGACATGAAGAGTAAAACCATGATGTAAGATGCGAAGTAATACATATCATACAGAAGGGGAAATAAGGTACAAAGTATTTAGGAAGAGTAAAAGACTGCAGATAGAGAGAAGAAAGACAAATTCATGGCATTTCCTGGTGATATTTGGGCTCATCTTGCAAATGAGTATTATGTGAAAATGTGGAAATGGTAGAGACTTAGAGGCTAAGTGAACGGGGATGTACCTGGAGACTTGGGCATAGAATCAGCCTATTTATTTAAGGAAATAAAAAGTGAATGTTAGGGAAAGATTTCAAAATTCAAGACCACCAATTAATATCACTGAGAGGGTAAGTAATGCTATTATAAGGGCTATGTAAATAAGGGTGTTAATGCTAAAGAGGAACCTGAATTAGAACTGTGTAAAGCAGACATCAAAATTATTCTAACCAACAGTTGGTACTTTCTTGAGTTGCCATTGTTTACACCTTGCAAGCTAGAGAAGGGCTTGGCAAAACTCTGGCTTATGCAACATATTTTGCATGTGTTACTTCAAACCTACACATATGACCATCTAACTTTTGCATTTTAAATTAGAACCACACAGGAACTTTTTTGAACAGGCTGATAATAGACTGCTCAGTAGGGCAGTCTATTATCAGGGCAGGATACGTAATTATTAGGACATCTCAGAAAAACAGCGGAATTTTCAAACATGTGTTTACAACGTCAAAATGAGCGATCACCAGCAAATTCTAACAAAAAAAGCCTCTAATCTCAAATCTAATGAGCTCGTGCAGCTGATGAACATGGGTCTGCTCTGTGCAATGGATCTGGGCCACATTTTTACATTATAAACTTATTTTCAGTGCCTTGAGTGATTCCATATCAAATGGCAGACATAACAGATAGCTTTAGAAAAGCAACAACCCTTTGCCTCAAGTTTGAGCAGAAGATAACTAAACATCTTGAGACACAATGAAATTGATTTTGTGTTTTGCATAGGAAAATGCAGTTGATTTCTCTGTTTTGTTTAGATTTTCTTGATGTGACGTGGATTCTCCCTTTTCAGAATCAATTATTTGTCACCTGAGAGGAGGCCTGTAAAAGCACTGTGCTTCCTTCCTCACCTGCACTTTGGGTTTTTTCTGTAGTCATCTCCTGCAAGCTTGAGTTCTGCATTCACCGTCATATAGTGAATATATGACAGATAGCTGCTGTCCGCGTCAGGCCACAGGCTAGCCTTGGCCTCCTGTGAAAACTACCGACAGCTGCACAGCAGCTGTGTTTGATGAGAAGGCCTGTGATAATGCAGAACTTGATGAAAGTGGAAGACACTAGAGGACTAATGAGTATTTTATTTCTAGGCTTCCAGCTCAAACAGAGCTTGGAGGAATGAGAACTATTACGGGTCTGATGTAACTTATGGTCTTTGACTAAGGTACCCAGGGATGCCCAGATCTTACCCCAAATCTATGATACTCTTCTCAGGGAGGTTTTCATTAAAAAAGAAATAAAAAGCTAGTTTCTGCTAGGGGTTGGTACCCATAGATCCAACTTGAAGTGTCTAGTGACCCTGCCTGAAGAGTGGGAATTGGGCTCATGCTTAAAAGTACTGTGCCTCCTCTCCCTACTCCATCTAGCAATCAGGTGGCCAGAAGAAACCAAAGTTAGGAGAGCCCCAGGGGCCCTCGTCAGTGGAGAAAAAAACAGGACAGGAAAGATGGCTGTCCTTTTCCCATGGTATTAGACAAGAGACCAGTAAATAAGCCTCAGAGGAGATAAGACTCGAATGGGATCTTTAGGGTAGATTTAAAGGTAGAGGATATTCTCCCTGGAAGGATGGGGTTTCCTCACCCACGCCATAGTACCCATCTTCTTCCTTCTGGCTGACTCTTCCTCATTTGTTTGGTTACTGCTTGGACAACACTGCTCTCAGACTAGGACTTTATACCACCCACTCCAACACTGTGAACTTCCTCAGTCCTTCTACTTAGACTTACCTATAAACTCAGTCCTTGAGATCATGACCTGAGCCGAAGGCAGAGGCTTTAACCCACTGAACCACCCAGGTACCCCGAGACTTTGAGTTTCTAAATGAAAGGGGCTTTTCCTTGTTTCCCTGTTCCTGGCACAACTACATGTTAAATATATGAAACTGAATGAAAGGGAATCCCAAGGAAAGGGGGCTATATAGAACAGCGATGGATGAGGACCTGGGACGGTGAGAACAGCCCATCTGGCAGCTGAGGTTAGCAAGTCTAAAAGCTAGACAGATGCATTTTGATTTCATATGATCAGAGATTGTCTTGATGGTTGTAAATAAAGGAGAAATGGAATGAAAACAAGTTTTAAGGGAAATTAGTCTCATAACAGTATATAGTAAAGATTTGAGATGAGTTAGAACAAGGTCAGAGAGAAGAGGTCAAATCAATGTACCCCAAAACTCACCCATTTTTTTTTTTTGTAAAGGAAGATTCCATGATGTCCTGCATAGTCAACAATTGCAACCTGCAGATAGCCTTAAAAATCCCAGGGTTATAATAATTTGCTTCCCCTTAAGCATCAGTATTACTTTGGGGCTTAATATTTATGAAACCTCAGGATACAAAACTTCATTGGAATATAGCAAATTTTGAGAAGTCATCTATTCTAGCTATCAACCCCAGGGAGGAATCGCAGAGTATCATTCATCCTGCAGTAATGAGTTAGGCATGCAGTTTTGGGCACACTGTCTGTGTCTATTCATGTGAAAATGGCAATTTCAGAGAGAAGGGATGCATACAGCTGGAATGCCACAGTGGTGATATTTTTCATATGGTGTTCTACAACAGTCTTTGTATCTGTCCTGGCATACTGGCTAAATGAGAGCCACTTTAATTTCATGTCTTCTGAAAGTATCTAATAGCCAATGACAAGAATAATCATCACGTTACACTGGAGCTTCCCTCGAGAGACCCCTGTCCTCTTACATAAGCCTCTTTTCTTCACAAACCAAAATTCTGGGAACACAGTTTAATTATATGTGAATTTCTTTTTATAAAGGAATCTGAAATTTTTACTCTATTTTCCAAAGTTCTTCTTTATCCAGAGAAATGACTAATTCCTTCTAGGTTTAGAAGTTATTTTTCTCCTTTTGATGGTTGTCTATTATACAAGTAAGAGAAGGCTTTAATTTTGCTTGCAGGTGATTATAAAACTTTAGTCTACATTCCCTTAGCTTGAACGTAAAGGAGAACTGTTCTAGTCAGCTGTCCTTCTGACCGCTAGAGCTGCAAGAAAGTTGACCTTTTTTAAATGTCAAAGTAGAATTCATAGGGTGGTCTAGTTAAAGATTGGGGAGTAAACATATGATTTCTTTTCCTTCCTCCCTAAAACTTTCAAAGAAGGCATTAACAGAGCCTGGACAACAAGGAGTCATAAAGGTGCAAAGATAAGGATAGATGAACCAAAGGGAACTTGGAATATGGAAAGAAAATGAAGGTAGTAGTGACTGATGTTGGAGCTCTGAGAAGGACAAAACACAGACAATGTACGAAGCCAATATGCAACGTAATTGGTGTCACGAACCTCAGGCTTATGAATTGGTTTCCCCATGCACAGTGGGGGTGAAGGTGGGGCTAACATAGTGCTGAAAGCTCCATCTAACACTGGGTAAGTGTCCCTCCTCAGTCTTTGAGGAAGCCTAGAGTGCTTTCTGGAGAAGGAGAATAGATATACAGCTTGCACTGTAGCAGTCAGGACACGATACTAAAACACAGGCATTAACTGAAAGTCTCCATACTGAACAGTGAGATTTTGAAAGTCACTCAGCATGCTGTACTCCCAAAGCCTTGACAGCTGGACTTACACACTCTAGTTGGGAGATTCTTCTCTCACTTTTCTGTGGGATCTCATCAGCCCAAGAGAAAGACTAAGTACCAAGAGTTGGTGTCCCCTAATGAATAGGCCAAGTCAGGCCACCCTACAGTGGGGCCTACAAGTTGGCAATCTCTTCAGCCCCCCTACCACACACACACACACACACACACACACACACACACACTCCAATCATCCCTGTTTCCTTCCTCTGAAATAGGCAAGGACAACCAAGAGAACATGTCAAACACAAGAAAAGAAACTTAGGAGAAACAAATTTAATCCAGAGAGCAGAAGAAAGCTTCCAAAAAAGAAAAAAAAAAAATCAGTACCCCGAAAAAGCAGAGAAAATATTGCATTTATGAATTAAGGACAGGATGCTATTTTAAAAATAATAATATTCAAAGCACATAAAGAGCTCTTGGAAATTATGGTTGCAGAAATAACCTGTGAGCAAGATTTGGAGATAAAAGTATGATGACGTTTCCACAGAGATGAAAAATAGGAAAGAAAATAAATAAATTATAGGATAGTCCAAAAGGGCCAATATTTGAAAAGTAGTAATTCCAAAAAGAGGAAAAAAAGAAATTTTCTAAGAAATAATTCTCAGAACAAGGACCTGAGTTTCCAGGTTGATAGAACAGACCAAGAGCCCATTACAATAAATCATAAAATCTGACACCAAGGCATGGCATTTTGAAATTTCAGAATACCAAAGACAAAAAGAAGTGTCTAAAATCTTCTAGATAGAAAAACCATTTCAAATACAGAACAAAGAAAACACTAGATTTTTTCAATAATTACACTGGAAACTAGAATGCAATCAAACAGCCTTTTCAAATTTTGAAGAGAACATGATTTGCAACCTAAATCTCTCTACTCTGACTTCTGGAGAAGATGGCACAGTAGGAGGATCCTAGGCTCACATTGTCCTATGGATACACCTAAATAACACCCACATCAATGTAAATAACCCAGAAAATGACCAGAAGATCAGCAGAACAGACTCTCAACATCTAAATGTAGGAAGAGGCCACATTGAAAATGGTAGGAAGGGTAGAGATGTAGGCACAAGCCAAACAGACCCACAAGACTGTCTCTGGGAGGGATGGACACTGCAAACATGGAGAAGGGAAAAGAGCAGACCCCCATAGATGCCCCCAGACACAAGGGATTCACATAGGGAAGATGAACCCCTATAACATTTGGATTTGAAAACCAGAGGGGCTTAATTTTGTAAGTTTTTAACAGTCATTGGGGCTTAATTAAGACATAGAACTTTTTTTTTTTTTTTTTAAGATCTTATATATTTGAGAGAAAGTGAGAGAGAAAGCACGAGAGGAGGGGGGAGGGTCAGAGGGAGAAGCAGACTCCCTGCTGAGTCTACCTCAAGAAGCCAGAAAAATCTCAAATAAACCAACCTTACAACTAAAGGAGCTAGAAAAGGAAGAATAAATAAAACCCTAAACCAGTAGAAGGAAAGAAATAATAAAGATTAGAGCAGAAATAAATGAAATAGAAACTAAAAACAAAAACAAACCAAAAAGACCAATGATGCCGGGAGTTGGTTCTTTGAAAAGATTAACAAAATTAATAAACTTTTAGGCAGACTTATAAGACTCAAAATCAGAAATGAAAAAGGAGAAATATCAATCCAACATCATGGATTATTAGAGAATATTATGAAAAATTATATGGCTACAAATTGTGCAATCTAGAAGAAATGGATAAATTCCTAGAAACATATAACCTCCCAAAACTGAATCAGAAGGAAATGGAAAATTTGACAGACCAATTACCAGCAATGAAATTGAATCAAGAATTAAAAACTCCCCCAAAAACAAAAGTCCAAGACCAGATGGCTTCACATGTAAATTTTACCAAACATTTAAAGAATCATTAATATCTGTTCTCAAACTATTCCAAAAAATAGTAGAGAAATTCATTCTGTGATGCCAGCATTACCCTGATATCAAAACCAGACAATGACACTACAATGAAAGAGAATAAAAAAGAACTATAAGCCAGTATCTCTGAAGAACACAGATGCAAAATTCCTCAACAACACATTAACAAATTGAATCCACCAATATAGTTAAAAAAATCATTCACCATAATCAAGTGAGATTATAAGCTTCTGCACAGCAAAGGGAATAATCAAAGAAACAAAATGACAACCTACTGATTGGGAGGAGATATTTGCAAGTAATATATTTGACAAAGGGTTAATATCCAAAATATATAAAGAATATATAGAATGCATAAAACTCAACACCAAAAGAATAAATAATCCAATTAAAAATGGGCAGAAGGGGCGCCTGGGTGGCTCAGTGGATTAAAGCCTCTGCCTTCGGCTCAGGTCATGATCCCAGGGTCATGGGATCAAGCCCTGCATCAGGCTCTCTGCTCAGCAGGGCGCCTGCTTCCTCCTCTCTCTCTGCCTGCCTCTCTGCCTACTTGTGATCTCTGTCAAATAAATAAAAATAAAATCTTAAAAAAAAAATGGGCAGAAGATAAGAACAGATGTTCCTCCAAAGAAGACATATAGGTGGCCAACAGACACATGTAAAGATGGTCAACGCACTAACCATCAGTGAAATGAAAATCAGAATTAGACTGAGATATCACCTCACTCCTGTCATGACTAAAATCAAAAAACACAAGAAACAAGCATTGGCAAGAATGTGGAGGAAAAGAAACCCTCATGCACTGTTGGTGGAAATGCAAACTGGTGCAGTCACTGTGGAAACCAGTATGAAGGTTCCTCAAAAAATTAAAAATGGAATTACCATAAGATGCAGTAATTCCACTCCTGGGTATTTAACCAAGGGATATGAAAACACTAATTTGAGAAGATATATGCACCTCTGTGATTATTGCAGTATTACTTATAATAGCCAAAATATGAAACCCAAGTATCCATGGATAGATGAGTGGATAAAGAAGTGTACACACACACACACACATATATATACATACTCATATACATACAGTGGAATATTATTCATCCATAAAGAAGGATGAAATCTTGCCCTTTGCAGCAACGTGGATCTGGAAAGCATAATGCTAAGTGAAATGTCAGTAAGAGAAAGACAAATGCCATATGAGTTCACTCATGTGGAATTTAAAAAATAAAAAAGACAAATTACAGACTCTTTTTTTTTAAGATTTTATTTATTTGAGAAAGAGAGCACAAGTGGGGAGGTGAGGGAGAAGCAGGCTCCCTGCTGAGCAGGGAGCCCCATGTGGGGCTCAATTCCAGAACCCTGAGATCATGACCTGAGCTGAAGGCTGTCCCTTAACTGACTGAGCCATCCAGGTGCCCCCAAATCACGTACTCTTAACTATAGAGAACAAAACTGATGGTTACCAGAGGGGAAGTGAGTGGGGGGATAGGTGAAATAGGTGAAGGAGATTAATAGTAAACTTAGGATGATGAGTACTGAGTACTGCATAGAATTATTGAATCATTATATTTATTATACCCCTGAAAATAGTATACCACTGTACATTAATCATACAGGTATTTAAAAAAGTAAAGCTCTTTACCCCATAAAACCACCAATAAAGTAGAATAAAATAAAAGTATATCTTTTTTTAAAGGTTTTATTTATTTGTCAGAGAAAAAGAGAGAGCACAAACAGGGGAAGAAGCAGGCAGAGGGAGAAGCAGGCTCCCCCCTGAGCAAGGAGCCCAAAGCAAGACTCGATCCCAGGACCCTGAGATCAGGACCTGAGCCAAAGGAAGATGCTTAACTGACTGAGCCACCAAGGTGTCCCCAAAGTACCTTTTTTTTTTTTAAAGATTTATTTATTTATTTATTTGACAGAGATCACAAGTAGGCAGAGAGGTAGGCAGAGAGAGAGAGGAGGAAACGGCTCCCTGCTGAGCAGAGAACCCGATGTGGGGCTCGATCCCAGGACCCTGAGACCATGACCCGAGCTGAAGGCAGAGGCTTTAACCCACTGAGCCACCCAGGCGCCCCAAAGTACCTTTTTAATATGCAGTATTTCAAAATTTTGAACACTGTATCAAAATCTAATGATGTACTACTATATGCTAGATAATTGAACATAATTAAAAAAAAGAGAACCAGTGTAAAAAAATAAAAAGCTATTAAGTTCATTCATTTATCTAAAAAAAAAAAAAATTGCCGCTCATGGTGCTTAAAAGGGAATTTGGGGAGAATCAGCATTAGAGAGAGGCTAAAGAAATTTTCCCATAATGATAGTAAAGGAAGATTTTGGATGATTGAATTAGTATTAGAATTGGCTGTATGTAGGAAAAAGTGACTTAAACACAAAAGGGTTTATTACATCTTATGAAAGAGCTTGGTGGGGACTCCTGGCTGGCTCAGTGGGTTAAGCCTCTGCCTTCAGCTCAGGTCATGATCTCAGGGTCCTGGGATCGAGGCCTGCATTGGGCTCTCTGCTCAGCAGGGAGCCTGCTTCCCTCCCTCTCTCTCTGCCTACCTCTCTGCCTACTTGTGATCTCTCTCTCTCTCTCTGTCAAATAAATAAATAAATACATCTTAAAAAAAAAAAAAAAGAGCTTGGTGGTGGCAGCCTAAGCACCTGACAGCTCTACAGATTTATCATAGACCTCCTGCCTTTTTCACATATTAAGTACGTCCTCATGTTTGCCTCGTGGTGCAAGACGGTTGCTGGAATTCCAGCTATCATGTGTGTATTCCAACCAGGATAGAAGAATAGGGAAAGACCAAAGAATTGCTTCCCAAGTTGAATCCATTCTTTCGAATAGTTTTTCTATAAGTTCCTTATAATATTTCCTTGTATATACTCTTGACCTGAGCTTTTCATAGTGGGAAGTTAATAGATACATTTTAAAACTGAAGAATAAAATGATAGCAATTGAAGCATATTATATACAGACATGAGGATAAATAGTCAAATTAACACTTGTTGAAAGCATTCCCTGAACACTTGTTGAAAGGGGAATGGGGCATGATATGGAGGTGGGGGAGTAGGAGCTCCTATTTGTTAAAATAAGCTTTGTAGAATTATTTGATTTTTAAAATTATATGGATACATAGCCTTGATTTAAAAAACTTAAAACTGACTGAACACTATAGGTGTTCTCAAACTAAATACATCAGCACACACAAAAACATTTTTTCCACTGATGGTTTGGTCAAGATAGGTAAGATGTTTTTCTTAAGTCACAAATTAATATACAATTTTTACTCAAACTTTGAAAGAATATAGACAACTCACAGTTTCTCCTTTAGATTCACATTTATACATTTATAAAACCAAGTCTTCTGGGTCTTTAGAGCATGTTGGTAAGCAGCAATTCTCCTAACTTTTCATTTCACTACACCAGAAAATCTTTGTGACCGATGGTTGAAGATCTGTTTCTCCAGGCAAGAAACACGCTGTGGTTAAATGTTGTCTCTCTTGTTCAAGGCAAGGGCCGACCAAGCCGGAAGTCCTGTTGATTCAGTGGCCTGGAAAGCGATCAAGTCGCCGAGTCCAGAGACACAACAGCTTCTCCCCTAAAAGCCCTCAGTTTAGTGCCTGCGGTCCAGGTAATGAAACTTTGTCATTTTTCTCCTTCCAAACTGACTCAGTTTGTATTTTCACGTTGACATATTTTTTAAACAAGTTGTTTCATATGTTTTAAACAAGTAAAACAGCAGTAGTAATGGAATGGTTTTCCTATACCAGATAAGTTTGAAACCACGTGGCGAAGAGCCTACAGTATTAAGAACAGGGTGATGATCCTCCCCGTTGTTTCCAGCAGAATCCCACAGCAGCATCCAGCAGTGCACAGAAGAACGATGGGTAGGACAGAAAGCAGCTCGGTCACCTTCTGCACGAGAACTGGAGACTTGTAGAAGTCCCCATCAAGAAAGGAGGCACCCTTTAGTTTGTACCCTAATTTGTTCGAGATTCCCTAAAGCCTACCTAAACACATGTAAAGTTCATCTCAGGAAAGGATCTTTATTTCCTTTCATGATGGGATTAAAGTCATAGCTGGCATTTTTGAAGCATGAAATATATTATGACATTTATTGGCCTAAAACCTTAATATTATAGGTTATTTTAATTGTGCTATTTTAATAATTACTTCAGTAATCCATTTGAAGTACACAAATTCATGTTGCAAAGCATCGGTAATTTCCGTAAAGCATATGTATGCATGCATATGTGTATATGTATTGAGTGTGCATATATATAAACATCACTTGAACATATTGTTTTGACACAAATTAATCTTTAAATATCTATTATTTCAGTAAACCAAAGTACTAACTATAGTCTATATTTACACAGACTGTACTTGAAAGGTTTCAAAGTGCCTTCTTGAACACTGTCTTTTTTCATTCTAATACCTTATAAGATAGATGTTAGTATCTTTATTTCCCCAGAAGGGAAGCAATTTGTCCAAGGTCATCTGGTTTATTAGACCATTTTTACAGCGAGACAACCACAAAAGCTCAGTGATTACCACTGCAAATACTTGTCTTTTTTCTCTCATGGGTCTGTGGTTGATGGTGATTTGGGTGACCTCAGCTGGATGTGTGCTCCCCCGGTGAAAGTAGAGTTCAGCTTCGCTTCTCGTGTAGCCTGCTGGGATCAGTGTCTCCTTGGAGAGGAGTTTCTTCTCTTGGTGGGTGTCAGAAGCACAAACAGCCAGGCCACGTCACACGGCTCACTTGAAACCACTGTGTGCATCTTACCTGCTAACTCTCCAGTGGCCAAATGAGTCCCACGCCGAACCCAGTAGCAGTGGGGAGGGACATCTACTCCACCTGTCGTGGTAGGAGGTGCTGCGAGGTGGAGGGGCAATGACTGTAGGCAGAGAATTCTATCCCAGGAAGAAAGGGGAAGTTCGTGAACACTAATACAGCCTACTGTGTGTTGTTAGGAAATGACAATGCTAGGCTCCCAGGTCAAAATATAGATTGTTCTTCATGCTTTAGCCCTTTAGAAAACAGAGCAAAACCCAAAACATCCTTCTAAGGAACTTTGATGTGTCAGCCACCTCAAATTCTTCTAGGAACAAGCCAGGATGGAAATGGTGTTGACTGATTTGTAAGTTAAAAAGTAAACATAAATTTTGTTCATACAGTTACAATGTTTTCTGTTATAAAGCACCCTTATTCTGATTTTTTTTTTCTTATATCCACTTCTATGTGACTGTGCTCCTGCTTAGTTTCGCCTCCTAATTTACATGATGGGCTTTGCAAGGAGTTTCAACTAAGAATGCAGAGAGAGCAAGAAGTGCATTCTAATGTAAAGTACGACCTCTTTATAATTTGGTCTTCTCTTCCAAACATTCAAAGCTAAAACAAGGTTTTACAGTTTGAATTCAATCACATCCTCCCATCGAGAAATATTGAATAATATTTCAGCAAATGCCTATGAAATCATTGAGCCAAGCTGCCATAAGGACCCACAAGAAGGCCAGGATGTCTATGCAGGGGCTCAGACCACAACTCTTCCCTTTGCACCCTTGAGTAATCTCCAGGTCGTGAGTTCAAGCCCCACACTGGGTATACAGCTTACTTGAAAAAGCAAGAATAAAATAAAAAAGACTTAAAAAAAGTTTTTTAATTAAAAAGGTCATTACAGCAACAATATTAGCAGGAGGACTTGGTGCTAGATACAGACATGTGTTTGTGTGTATGTTCACACAGATGTACATCCGCACATCTGTCACGTGTGTGCATGTATATATGTGTGCGTGTGTGTGCATATACACATGTATATATTTTGATTGAATCCTCACAATAGCTATGTGGCCACTGATACTCTTGCCATTTTAAAAATCAGAAAGCTGAGGTCAGAGGAGTCCAGTCATCCGAACAAGATCAGCAGCTTCCAGATCCTGCACTCCTAACTGCTATGCCATGACCACAGCGCCCATGCTTATTCTGGTTAGGCCCTAGGAAAGGAGACACCAGCTACCTTGCTGTGGTCAGACATCTTACTTCCTTTCCTGGCTCCTGCCACTGTCACAGAAGTCAGCTTAGAATTATTGATGGATGCTTTCTGTTTTTTTTCAAAAGAAAAACCAGCCATCTCATGGATTGGTAAAAATGGCTCAGCAGGATCTGTTCCTTGATGATCAAAGGCCAGTGCAGGCAATGACGTCAAAGGCACAGACTTGCGAAAATGAACCCACGGGGGCACGCGGATCTGTGGAACACAGTAACTCAGAAAGCACTCATGTGAATGCAGTTCTTAAGAAGGTGGTGACTAGTCAGTGACACTGTGTGCTTCCTTGCAGGTCAAAGAAAAGTTCTGAAATGCCCAAACGTTCCCTCTGTTTAATACATTGTCCTCATGGTTTTCCCCTCAAGGCTTGTTAGAAGAAGATAACCAGTGGATGACCCAGATCAATAGACTCCAGAAATTAATTGATCGACTGGAAAAGAAGGTACCTGCTTCCTTTTCTTTCTTCTCCCTCTCACTTTTCAGTATGTTCTGACCCGTTTTCCTCCCGGCATGAATACATCCATGGCTGCCCCACGGATAGACTAACAGCCAGGAGTCCTGTGATGCTGCCTGGTAGTTATCTGGGTGTTTCTGTTAAGGCAAATACGGAAGCTCATGTTAATTCTCAGTCCCTCACCCCTACCCCTGGTGAGAGTTAAGATAGGATGTAGAGGGGCACCTGGGTGGCTCAGTCGGTTAAGCATCTGCCTTCGCCTCTGGTCATGATCCCAGAGTCCTGGGATGGAGTCCCGCATAGGTTCCCTGCTCTGCGGGGAGCCTGCTTCCCCCTCTCCCTCTGCCCCTCCTCCCATGCTTCTGTGCGGGCACGCATAGTTTCTCTTTCTCTCTTTCCAATAAATTAGTAAATCTTTAAAAAATTTAAAAAAAAAAAGGATGTAGAGTTGCAAGTTAAATAAATGCACTGTACTGCCTGCTTCTTAGGTTACCTGTGCTGTAGGTAGCAGTGCGCCTGAATGACACAGACGGCTGCTTGTAGGGACGGCCTGGCCCACGTCCTGGGAGTGTTTCGGAGTGATTCAGGAAAGTGGTTGTATGAGATACTAGAAGGTGAAATTACATTTGCAACTTCTGTAAATTAGCCTGCTAACTGATGAATTTTGGCGCTGGACTACCCAGTGAGCAACCAAGTAGGGATGTGACAAGTTTTTCAGATATATATTTCATGTTTCAAGTTATTTCTGTTGACTAATTCACTTAGTACCTGCAGTCCTAATATTGTACTGGTGTTCCCTTTGATGGAAGAGGCAGGATATGTCAGTAAGAATATGTGTTTTCTGGTCACGCCAGGCACCAAAGGAAGAAATGTTTATGTTTGAGACAGTTACAGATGTTGAAGAACCTACAGCCTGCTTGTAAAATTAAGCATTATTATAAAAGTTAACGGATTTTCTTAAAGTATGTGATAGCACAGAACCAGCTTCATAGTTAATGCTCAGTGAACTCTTGCTGACTGACTGAGACATGTAGAACAGATGCTAATTACAGTCTACAGATGCTTCCTGAGGGAAAGATCACTGCGAACTAAGGTGCTTGGCAAGGACTTAGTGTGGCTGGAGGGGCTTGAGTCGGGCCTTTAAACGATGACAATTAGGGATTTTGTTTGCAAGCAATAGAAATCACCTCTGTAATAAAATTTTTTTCTGGAAGGTATGGGAGTGCTCACAGAATCAATAGAAGGTATAGAAACTGGGATTCAGGAAAAGTCAGGAGACACAGTAACTCTAGAGATCTAAGTGAGAAATGCTCAGTGGTCTCTCAGGCTACCTCTACTGGAATAAGTGAGTTCCAACCATCTCTAGTCTGTTGACATTATGCTCAAGATTCCATTTTCCAGGGGGTAGAATCTGGTTGGTCTTGTTAGGGTCCCAGGCTGATTACTTGGGTAAGGAAGGGAAGAACATCTTGATTAATGGTCCTAGAGCACTGTGTTGAAAGGAGAAGAGAGAATTTACTGAAAGGAAGATGTATTGTCATTAAAATTGGAGTAAATACTAGTCTGCTAACAAACCAATGAACAAATAGATATTTGTTATGGAAAAGTAAATTTTTAGTAAAAAGAGACCACCTAAAGAGGACATTAGGTAAGGTTGACAGCATGAGTAAAACCTAAGTAGGCCAGCCTGGTTAGATTCTTTCCTTTAGGAAAATGGTAACAAATAAGATTGTGTGGATGGATAGGGGCCATATTACGGATGGTGTTAAATAACAGAGTAAGGAATTTGGACTTGTCTTGGAGACAATAGGAGGCATTTATTATTTTTCAACAGGTAAGTGACATAACCAGAAAGATCTTTTAGTTAGAAAATTGGACAGCAAGAACACAAATTGAATTCAAACAAGAAAACTCGAACCACCAAAGCCAGCTCAAGCAATGACATTAAGGAGCAAGTTGCAGATCTGAGCCCACTGGGATCAGGTATGGCAAGAGATGGGCCTGTAATATATGACCAAAAAGGGGTACCTGGGTGGCTCAGTCATTAAGCATCTGCCTTTGGCTCAGGTTATAGTCTCAGGGTCCTGTAATCAATCCCCACATTGGGCTCCCTGCTCAATAGGAAGCCTGCTTCTCCCTCTCCCCCTGCTTGTGTTCCCTCTCTTGCTGTGTCACTCTCTGTCAAATAAATAAATAAATAAAAATCTTAAAATATATATATATGAAATATATATATGTGTGTGGGTAAGTGTGTGTGTGTGTGTGTGTGTGTGTGTATGACTGAAAAGAAAATGGCAGTTTTGAAAGACTTGAGTGAAATTAACAGGATCATTGAATGGGTTTGATGGGTAAAGGACGGGGAATCTCAGATAGGATTCTGAGAATTTGAGTCTGAGTGCCTTAGTCAATTGTATCATTAGCAGAAAGGAAGAGACAAGTGAGAGATAATGGGTGAGGTGAGGTGAATTTGTTGATTAGGTATGTTAATTTCAAGATCCACTAGGACACAGGCAAAAATGTTCAGTTAGATGTTACTAAGCAAGAAGCCAGGCCAACAGTTTAAGGTCTCAAGAGCCGTCTCCACAAAGATGAAACTCCATGTCCCGAGTTGAGGAGGATCTCTGAGAAGGAGATTCTGTACAAGGAACCAGGTCCAGAGGAAGAAACCTAGGAGAGTTCTAGTCCCTTTGCTGCCATATCACCATTTGTTACATTAACATTGACCACTTACTGGGCAAATAACCTAAACTTAGAGCTGCAGCAATTCAACTTTCTTCCTAATTTTATCAATTGTTATGTGAGCTAAGATTAAACATAATCATAGGGAAAATGGTAGCTATGAAAATTTGCTTTCCAATCATGGAAGATGGAAATGCATGACCTCTATTTGGAAAGCAAACCTTGTTAAAACATAAAGAGTCCATTGTTACATAATTTCAGATTCATTTAAAGAACATAAATTTCTCCTTTTAAAATAGATTTGAAGTTCTTGGCAAACTTCTCTTTATTTGGTGTCTTAACTTTATAGAGCTATTTTTAAAGGAATAACTTTATCTTAGGTCATGCCTTTTTTTCCCAACTTTAAATCAAAGTATTATCACATCTTTTTCTTTCCTAGACTTTTTCTCCCTCCCTTCCTATGAAAGGGTTTCATTTTGAGGACAGAGTCTGAGAGGGTTGCTGAAAGTATGATGTGATGGTCTTGGGCATTGGATCCCAGCTGTGTGGGGCTCAGCATGGTCTGTCTTAATGAATGGAGAGGCAGTGCAAGTTCTGTGTTCTTCTACAACTTATTCTGTACTGTGAATTAGGCTTTTAGAGGAAAAACTACCCAATTGCCAAACAGTAGCTAAGTGCATGTCATTTCACAGTTGACTCTCTTGTCTTTTGCAGTTTTTGGCACCGGGTTTGATCTCCCCATTAGAAGGACATGTTCCTGCAGGGGAGCACCTGTTATCTTTTCTTGCAGTTAGTATGATAAATCCTTCCTGCACCATAAGCTGAACCCAGTACTACTCATGTGTGGGAGGGGGAGTAATCTTCGAAATTTCTATAGTTTCCTTCAGGCATTCTTTCTTCCCATTTCAGCCCCTGTGAGGATTTATGGGGATATATTGAAATCATATTTTATGTTGTCCTTGAGCTCTGCAGAAAACATTTTCAAACATCCTCATTGTGTTCATACCACCTGTTTTAGGTTGTTCTTATCATCAATCAAAGAATGTGGAAGCAAAAAATGTACCTGAGTTGGTATTAGGGACAGAGTGGTCAAGGAGATCCCATTTGTTAGAGTTTCTATCTGTGGAGTATTTTTGAAGATTCATCCCCTTGCCTTCCATCTCCTTGACTTCAAGGGGAAGCTATGATTTCAGTGGGGCATTCATTCAGCCATTCATTTATTCAGCTATTGCCTACTGCGCGTCTGCTTTATGCCCGGTATTATTCTGGCAGTGGAAGTACAGCTGTGATCAAAATAGGTAAGGTCCTTGGTCCAGTAGAGACCGAGGAAAATCAGTAAACAAATCAATGAAATAAGGTAATTTCAGAGAGCGAAAGTACCGTGAAGACAAAGTAAGGCAGTATGGTAATGATGAGGGGGTAGATACCTAAAGTGGGTGACCCAGGAAGGTCACTTTAAGAAGGTGATATTGGAGTTGAGGTATGAGAGAGGAGAAGGAGCCAGCTAGGTGAATCTCTAGGAATAGAGAATTCAAGACAGAGGAAATGGTGAAAGTGAATCCTAGAAAAGTTAAATAACTTGCTTAAGGTTTAATCACAAGAGAACAGCAAAGCTAGAGCTACATAACTCTGTTTTTAACAAGTTTATGTTATTTTGGACAGTCTGGATTTCTACAGCTCTCAGTTTATTATCTCCTTGAAGGAATTATTGTGGATAATCCTCACGTACCACAGATGCTAGGATATATATTCTTAGAATGAAGCCCTGGGAGTTTGCATGCTTGGTTTCACTGGAGATATTAACATCATCCATTGATGACTGTAGAAAGTTCTAGGGTCTTTTTAGCCATCCTTGATTTTTAGGAACTATCAAAAAAGTGTTTTGATTTGCTTTTGAATTCATCATGTTTTAGTAATGTCAGATTATCACTAGAGTATAAAAGTATTATAGCAGTTGCACTAATGTCTGTCAAGATCTCCCTCTTGGGCAATCAGTGGCAATCAGTACTAACAGCAAAAGAAGTCAGCCTAGTCTTTCTTTTTCCTGTCCTGTTCTTTCCCTATTCTAATGAATCTGCTCCATTTTGTTCTCTTCTATTGTCATCAGTAAAATTAAAGTAATAACAAACACATCTGAAATGGCTTTTTTACTGTTGATAAATGGGTAAAAGAGGTTTTACTGGTTTCATTTTTTTAATGGTTTCATTTTTCAAAAAGTTTTCATTTGTTTTAAGTCAGAATTACTCCATTTCCTTTCAGATAATGAGGTTCCTTTGGTACAACATTAGCCATAAAAGACTTAACATTCAAGTATATGGTGTTTCCTTTATCTCATTTCTGGTCCCTTTCTTTCCCATTTCTTTCTCCACCTGAAGGATCTCAAACTTGAACCACGGGAAGAAGAAGTTATTGAAGGGAATACTAAATCTGTAAGTACTTTTTTCCTAGGTGAAAATGTCAGAAATATATACTTTGAAAACATTTAATTTCTTCAAAATTAGTGACTTTCTCAGTGAAAATTTGAAATTGTACAAACACATATTTTATTTTGCATGCCTAAGTAGTAGTTTCAAAATTGTGATTTGTGGAAACCTAATGCCTATTTTACAGGGTTTTTATGCAAGTACTTAGCATGTGATATGTGCAAAATGACAATTTTATGCATACGTAAATCAGTGAGTTATTGAATAATTGAATGAATGTGACTGGAAGAGAAGGGTAACATTCAGATTATATCACGAACAACATTTTATCAACCCTCCAAGCCTGAGTGTTCCACCTGAGCTGAAACTTGATGCTATTCAGTATTGTATCTCCAGCTTCTGTCCTAGGGCCAGGCACACTGTAAGTGCTCAGAAAAAAAAAATTTTTTTTAAGAAAAAAATTGACATTTAGAGAAAAAGGAACATTTATGCTCCTAGGGAAAAGACATCCATCCAGAATGGTGGTAATTTATAGAGATGGAGAGAGAAAAAAGTGATGCTAATAGGCACTCAGACACAAAATAAGAAATTTATGAGTAAGTTACCTAATTGAAATTGAAATTGAAAATACATATCATGATTTGTTATTTTGAGACAAATATTTGTAGCACATTCTTTTGGGGGAAAGTGGATCTTTGCATTCACATTTAGTAGAAATTTGGATTTTAAGATCTTGACAACTCACAGAAAATCACTTTTCTTAATACCTTAACGGTATATTATGTAGATCTTCTAGGAGCCATCACATTTACAGGAGACAAAGATAGGCAAACCTTTCATCTCTGTCCCGGGCCCTTACTCCACAGGCATTGCCTGCCTATGTGCCAGAAGGTGAGGCTCACCTTTCTTTCTGCTCCCGCCCATCAATCCAGACTCAAAGCCCAGAGAGTTTTCAAAGGGGAAGCTGTAGAGGGTTCTGAGGAAAGCTTTATAATGATGTTATAATTAGAACCCTATAGATATGAACACTTTCCCAAAGGTAACCTACATATTATGTTCAGGGCTTCTGTTCCTCCAAAGATGGGGTGTGGTCTGTTTTAATTCATCAAGCACCCAGAATTCTAAAGGGGTAGGTTTTGTTGGGAAGCAGAATCTTTTTTGAGGAGAGGAAAAGGCTGTTGAGTGACTTATTAGGAATATTATTCCCAGCAGTCCCTTAGTCACAGGACTGTGACCTTGCAGTCTTACATCTGTCGTCAATTAGATTTGCATGTAGGGAAAACTACACTCCAGTCAAGACAACAGAACATAACATTTCTAATGTTGAGAAAGACTATTGTCTATTCTTACATAATATCCTAACGTGAGACTCTTCTCTCACACTAGCTAAGTGGGAGAAAAATTGTCTAAGGATTGTTGATGGAAGGTGACAGACTGTTCCATTCTCTGGTCCCTGACAGAAGAGAGGCCAACGTCAATTTTAAAAGATTTATCAACCCACACAGCATTACTAATTCAATAGCGCATAGAAGTATTTAACAAAGTAGGATTGGGCAAAGTGCAGCAGTCGATATTGTTGAAAAGCAGGAAAGGATATTCCTTAACTATCTTCAGCCACACGTAAAGGTAAAATAATTATGCTCTTTGGGACTACACATTTAGTAATGATTTGAATAAGTTTGTTTTTTCTCGAAGATACCAATAAGCTACCTGTCATTAAAAGTGGTACTTTATCGTTAGTGGTAGTAACACCTCACCATGGATACTTATAAAACCTTCTCTACTTGGAATGACAAAAACAGATCTCCACTGTTCACAGCCAGCCCCCAGCATCGCATGCTCCTCTGGGCTCATTTCTCTTGGTGTCCAAAACCAGTTTAAGGCTTTATTGGCTAGAGAGGTGATTTTCCTTTTCCCTTAATGAATACATGAGAACCTTGAAAAATAAATTCCATACCAGAGAGCAAAAAATAAATGGTTATGATAGATTTTATTTTCTAAAGCTACTCTGCACTGAGCCTTTGTGACGAGCCAAGTATTGTGTGAAACACACACATCTGTAATTCACTCCGTCCTCATCAGAGCCGTCGGAGGTGGGGCAATCGGTAACCCCATTTTGCAGATGGAGAATTAAGGTATGGAAGGATATCGATGCCCTAGCCAGACCCCAGATCTACGCTAGACCTGTACTCCACACTGTAATAGCTCCACTCCAGCGCTTGGCGCATCTTGGGACACTAACGTGGAGTTGTTTTTGCCAGTGAGGTTGTGAGCTAACAGATGACTCCGTTTCATGAGATTTGCTACATTAGAGCAGAACAGTCGTATCTGGTAGGCCTATTTAAACACATAGCCAAAGACCCAAACCCTACTAGCTGCCATATCTAGTTTTCAGGAATGTGAGTCATTACATAATGATGAGTCTAGGATATGATTTCTTTCTTTCTTTTTTTTCCCCCCTCAGTGAGCAGAGTATGAGAAGTAACATCTATTGAGTATCTATCCTGGGCAAGATTTTTACGTACACTATTCCATTTAATCCTCCCCCAAACTTTGTGATATAAGTACCACTGTTCCCATTTCATTCGGTGACTTAGGATGAAAAGAAGTAACTGGTTCAAGGCCACATAGCTAGTAAAAGTGAAGCGAAGTTTTTTCTTTAATATGTGTACTCTTTGCTCTTAAAGGACACAGGAAAGAGGACAATATGGTGGAGGCAGATGAACGAAAAGATGCAGACCTCTACACTTTGCGGGACCACCTCAAATCTTTTTTACTGGAATGAATAGTACATAAATAACATTTATTAAAGAGCTTTTAAAAATGATCACTGGCTGAAAGCAAAACCAGTTCTTGCTTGTTTGTTCCATGAATAACTCAATCACCAGCCAAGTGCCAGGCTCTGGGGGAGGGTCTGGAGATAAAGGGGTAAATATTATAGGCGCTACCAGACAGACCAGAAGGACCTGCAGTGAATCAACAAGGATCTACAGGACACAGTGCTGAGGATTATTATAGAAAAGTTCAGATTTGCACAGCAAGGGAACACAATCTAACTTAGGAGGCCAGGGAATGCTTTGAGAATGACACAGTATTTAATGTGAAATCAAAAAGAATAAACAGGAATTTGAAAAAATATTTATATATCTCTGATAACATTGAATTGTTCAGATGTTGCACTAAAAGGGCAACACTAAGGGGTAATGTAAGAAGATCAGAATGTTCCAAATGATTTGCAAAAAGCATGTTATAAAGACCGCAACCTTCAGAATTCATAATTTTACTCTTGTTAGAATAGGAAACGTACATCAGAGATCTAAGATCCAGGATTGTGACTTTATGACTCATGGAAAACTTGGGAGTAATTTATTGTCTTCTAGCCGTCAAGTACTAAGGCAAGGAGTGTGAATCACTGAAGATCAATATGGTTTTTGAAGGAACCCATCCAGACCACACATCCTGGATCTGGCCAGCTATATTTGCCCACCCAAATCCTTTATGCTTGGTGCCATAGTATGCCTTGCATGGCACTTCCTATCAAACAACTTTTGGAAAAAGATGATGATTTCCTACATATTTCGTATATTCAAAAGGGTTCTTTTTGGAGTCAATATAATTTTGATCCCATTCCGGTGCTTTTCAAAAACTGTAACTTTTCCTGAGCACATTATTGTTTATGCCAGAATAGCTTATACAATAGGAGTTTATAGATCTAATATATTTCTTTGGCTTTCTACCCTCATAGAGCCCGTCAATAATAATATTTTGTGAAGTAAATTAATCCTGCCACACAATATCATGTGTATTGAGGGTTATTACCAACAAAAATGTCAGGAACTCTTAAGACATAGTTTTGCTTTGCAATAGCTATTATGAGATAGAACAAGAGCACACAAGAAAGGCTGTTATTCTGAAGACATGCTTGGAACACAATGGTAAATGTAATTAAGTAGAGCTAGAAACATGAAACAAATTAGTTTTCTTTAAAATATTTCTGTCTCCAGAGATTTTAAAAAAGCTGAAATTTCTCAAAAAAAAAAAAAAAAATCCAAGAAATTTCAGTAAGGATCTCAGGCTGCGTATTTGACATTAGAGACATACAGAAATGTCATGAAGATATTAAGACTCCTGTACCAAAGCAAGTTATAAGACTGGCCCAGATCCAAGGGAAAGTATAACAGGATCCACATTTTGATAGAAGAAGCTAAAAAGCCACATTTTGAAGTGCATGTCTTCAGGAAGTAATGAAGTATTCTATTCATGGTTGCAATTTAGATCACATAAGATCTACCTTCAGACTAAACGAATTACGGTGGAATAGGTAGATATATTTATATAATCTCACTAAGAAAGCCCAGGAGAAATCATTCGAGTCATTGTTCATCACAAATAAATGATCAGGAAGTCTCTGTAGATTTCTGTCAAAAGGACATGTCCACAATTATTTTGGCAGAGATTAACTTTAACTCTTAGTTACTGACACTAAAGCCAGGTCCTGAGAGAGTGGTACAGGAGGCTGATTGTTCATTACATAATCTTAGGAGATAGTTATAGGCTTATATCTACTGATTCTTGATCTCTGATCCTAAAGGGAAATAAAACAAAGCTCAATTAAAATCACCTAACTCATTAAGGTGACTGGGTTAGACCCAAATGGAGAACGATTCCAATATAATAAAGATTTTTTTCCTTGGCCAGGAAAACAGTCCACACAAGGATTCAGGGATACATTCTCCTCTCAAGTGTGGCTCTGCCATTCCTAAGGCAGGTCATTCTGTCAACAGAAAAGGGGAAGAGAACATGGAGGGGCTTTACATCCCTCTTGAAAGTCTTGGCCCAAAAGCAATGTGCAGCACTTCTGCTTGTGTTCTGTGGTGGAAACTCATCACTTGGTTACACGTAACTCCAAAGGATGATAGACAACATACTCTGTGCCTAGGAAGAAGAGGAAATGGATTTGGGGAAAACGGTTTGGAGTTTCTGCCACAGTGAGCCTTCTGATTATCAAATATTCATTCTTATCACATATATAGAACATATAGACGCCTTCACAAAGGAGACCACCCTAAGTCTCCTCCAGTTACTGCTGCTAGCTCAAAGTCTGGCTTTCTGGGTGAGAATCAGTCCTCCCTGTAAGATCAAGATGTGGTCCCTTGTAGTCTGACACAGTTATGAATAAAGAAGTAAGTTATCTCCCCTCACCACACCCCCAAAACACAGATAAATACACAGTGATAAAACTGGGCCAGGAGAAATGTCATAAGAACTGTAATTCAGGAAAGGCATGACTAGGAAGCATACAGCACTTACTGGTTCATTGCAACAATGAATTCATGCTGGGAAACTATTTGTCAGTGAAGGAAGTTCTGGATCCCCATTCTGGGAGGAACTCTCTTGTCCATTGTTGTTTTGAGACTTTCTTTTTGGTTCTTTTTCCTCCATGACCACATCGGAAACAGCTTATCAAAGAGTATTGCCTTTTTTAGGGGTTATGCAGTATTGATAGCCTGCTTCCTGCTCATCTGAGTTTGGAGGCCCAAATATATTACCTTAAGGCTTACACAATCAAAGGATTTTGAGACTGGGATGAAGATTTTAGCTATTTGACAATACAGTTCTTTCAAGAATTTAATAGACTTCTGGTCAATTTACATATAGGTAATTTCATGTGCTAGGATCAATACCTAAAATTATTCCATAGACATAGTTCTCAACCTTGTTGATTTCTTGGGGCACCTGGGTGGCTCAGTCAGTTATTAAGTGTCTGCCTTTCACTCAGGTCATAATCCCCAGGTCCTGGAATCAAACCCCACATTGGGATCCCTGCTCAGTGGGGAGTCTGCTTCTCCCTTTCCTCTCCAATCATGCTGTCTCTATCTCTGTCTCTCTCAGATAAATAAAATCTTAAAAAAAAAAAACCCACAAAACAACCTTGTCGATTTCTTTACTACACCTTATGAAGGTAAGGATTCTGTCTTAATTCGTCACTGTATACCCAGAATGCGGCACCTACCATTTATTTACCTGTAGAAAAACAAAGTAGGCACTATTGTTGGATATATAAAGTGCCTCATATGATACCTATGATACAACTGTTCTCCAACAACAGTAGCTATTAACATGAAGTGAGAAACTCATTGGAGAGGAGACACAAACCAGGGCTTAATTCTGGCTCTACCACTACGCAGCTGGGTAATATTGTACAAGTTACTTTTCTCATATTCTGAATTTTCCTTACATTGTTGTTGTTTTGCATTTTTATAATTCACTCCCAATCCTTTTTTTTCTCTTGCATTTCTGTGGTTCTTAACCCTTGATGGAGGAAAGGCTTAATCTTGAAATCGAAGTGCCATGAGAAGCCCATAGGCAGATCTATAGGAAAGTCTTCAAACTACAAGTGCCATAAACATAATAGGATTTGTTACAGGAAGCAATTGGCATCCAGCCCAGTGCGATCCATTAAACACAGGCTTCGACTGATGCCATGAGATCTGAGCAGGGCCTATGGTATGTGATCAGTGGCTAATGTACTTTTGGAACTGCAACACCGATCACACATTTTTTTTTGAAGTTTGGTTGTTTGTAATTTTACACATCTTTAATATCATGAAATATTTAAGGTGAAGCTGGAGCTGTCCAGTGCGTAGAGTAGGACTACTTTGTAAAAATGACCATAGGCTGGTCATCCCAGCCTAGGCTGCACATTGGAGTCACTTGGGGGTGGGTGGTGAGGGTTGTATAAATACTAGTGCTTGGACCCCCCTTCCAGAGATTCTAACGTAGCAATTTTGAAACCTCCCTAGGGCTTCTAATTGAGAACCATTGTTTTTAAAAGGGAAGTGTATCCTCGGGAGACACTGTCTTTACCACCTTCTACTAGAAGCAAGGAAGGTATCCTGCCTGTATTAGAGTTTTTATAGAATGTATTCCTTGGATTAGTCACGGTCTCCCTTTTGGTCATATTTTTAGATGAGAATTATTTGCTTTGTTGGGGGGGATGGGCACAGGGGTCCGCTGAAGCGAGCTTCCCTGGCAGCCAGGCTGCAACCCTTGCCTCTTCCTCGGTAGCACATCATGCTTGTCCAGCGCCAGATGTCTGTGATAGAAGAGGACTTGGAAGAATTCCAGCTTGCACTGAAACACTATGTGGAGAGCGCGTCCTCCCAGAGTGGATGTTTGCGGTAAGTTCTCCTGCATGGTTCTTAGGTGAAGGCGGGGTCTGGAAGACAGGCATTTGAGAATCCTCTTGTGTTTGTTTTGATGCATTTTGCAGACTTTAATTGGGTATTTTCTCTTTTTTCCTTGGACTCTGTGGATTTGATCACTGAAGGCACCAAGGGAAATAAAATGGTGAGAACAATTTGAAGAGGGGAGTTTCACATCGACTGGCATCTCCCCTTCTGCATCCAGGCAGGCCCACACTGATTTAAAATCATCTCTGATAGATGAACCCCAAGTCCAGTGCGTCTAGCTCTGATTGCTCCGTTGGCAGCTTGCCCTCTAGCCTGATAATCATTTCAGCCATTAGGAAATTGCACAGTGTCTGAAGTCGTGATTACAGACCTTGGTCATAAAAAATAATAATAGTAAAAAACCCTTCCCATAGCCACCCAGCTCAGGCTTCGATTATCTTAGGCTACTGAAATTTATGAACTATTCCTTATTTTCGGTTTCTCCACTCCAGTCATCCAGTGAGCAGTTAACTAGAATAATTTTACAGAAACAATTGTAGAATTCCCTTCATCAGGAACTGTAACAACTCTGAGGGTCTTAACCAAATGCTAGAAATTTCTCCGACTTTACGCTTATCCTCCTCCAGAATGCACAGCACTGCTACCGTTGCTTCTCTCTCCCTGAGCAGCAGTGTGCAGCTGCCCATTGTCTTTGCAGCATAACCTGTACCTTAGACCTGGCCTCTCTGCTCCCCAGAAATGTGTGCCCAGCAGATAGCTTTCTGCCAAGCGCATGTTCTGCCTCAAGTCCAAAGCCCAGCCCCAAACTCACCTGCTTCTAGAAAACTACAACCAAAATCTACCCCTACCTTGGGGTTTGTTCAAACTGCATTTCGTAATGCTCTTCGAATACCGCTTTAGCACATGTACACGTGTGTGTGTACACACACAGACACACAGAAATGCATACTTTATGTCTCTGCGTGCTTTGGTGTTATTCCTGGTAATTATATTTTATTTATACCCCAGCAGAATAGCTCCCCAGTTAAGAAGTCTGGCTCTGGAGTTAAACATGGGATTGTATTCATTTTGTAATTTCGGGGAAGAGCTTTATAGGCTCTAAGGCTCCGTTCTTCATTAAGAACTTCCTAAGACACCAAGAGGGCTGTGAGGATTAACTGAGTGCTCAGCACCCTGGGGGTTACTATCCCTTCATCATCTGGCTGGCTGACATCTGACCCCTTCTCTAGAGCTGCAGGGGACTCGCTCAGTGCTGTTTCTGTTCTACTGTTCACGATCTTCCAGTCATGCCTTTGTAACAGAAACACAGGAAAATGCTGAGTTTCCTTTGTTGTTATTGCTGCTGTTGTTATTCTTCACAACAAACTCAGAAGAGCTCAGATCGAAACCATTTTAGCTCAGTGATGTAGGGATCTGTCAAAGTATGAGTATATGTAGTTTTAAAAGCCTACTTATCTGAAACTGGAATTGAATGCTTGGAAAATGCAAAAAGAGTGTGTGCGTGTGTGTGTGTACACACCATCCACAGTAGGAACTACAGAAAATAGAGCACAATACTAACCAAAGAAGTGGGGACATAAGGAAGATAAAGTGTGGCCTGGTTTATCACGATCTCCAGGAATGGATTAGACTTGCTACATTTATAAATAAGGTACAAAGTTTGATTATTTCTTAAGGTTCAGAGATAGTGCTTTAATGTGTGCTGGGAAAAGGGCCCGAAGCCACGTGGCCAGCCCAGGGTGAGAGAAGCAGCAGGGGAGAGCAGCTGAGGAGACCGATCTGTGCAGCCTGCTGAGGACTGTTCTCTCAGCAGCCACGGAAAATTGCTCCCGGGGCGCCAGCTGTGAAGAACAGGGAGGGAAAGAATCCTCTTCCAGTGAGATAAGTTGAGATGCTCGGTCTCTCCTTTTCCTTTGCGAGACTGGTTTGTTTTTTAAGGACTCTTCATTCCCTACTTGCTGATTTTTCTACTGATTTCTTTCTTTTATTGGCATTATCAAAAAGTAGACTTTATCAGATGGAATGAGCATAGAGAATCAGTCCACATGGCTAGAAACCATGTGAAATGCAAGTTATGCCAGCCTGCCTGTCTAAATTCAGCTCATCGGTCGTTTGCTTCTCTGTCAGTTGACGAGCAATCAGCCAGGCCGCTCATACTGTTAGTCGCGCACCATCGACTTGATCTTGGCTGATACAGTAAAACTCAGAATGATCAGGTTTGCAGTTTCTTCTCCTCCCCTGATGTCAGGCTCAGCTTCACCGTGGCTAGACAAGAAATGCTGCCATAAAGCGAAGTAGAAATTACTTTGTCTGACTAGGGCAGTTGGCATCCATTTTCTTATTTGATCTTCACTGCAGTCACCTGAAGTATGTATCCCGTCCACTGAAGGAGGGAATGGGCTCAGATGCATTAACATCTTGCCCCAGCGTGTCTGATTCCAAAATCCACAGTTAATCCTTGCCAGTACTTGGTCATCCTTGAATTAAAGTTTCCTGGACTCTCTGTGGTTAACTAGAGGTAGAATGGACAAGATCCCTCCTGTTCCAACTATAAGGTCTTAGTTTCTTAAATTCAGGCAATTAAATTAGGGAGGTTTTTGCCCTGCAGGTATTGGACCACCAGACTCAGTGGTTTAGAGGCTGTTGGAGTCCTTGTCAGGGTACTCGTCAACTGAGTTTCCGAATGAGCTGTTAGTGGAAAAGCCACTTAAATCTCATGACCCAATTTCTCACAAATGCACGTATACACACACACACAAACACTGATGATCTTTTTCTTAGTTATTTTAAAGATTTGTTTGAGAGAGGAAGAGCACGTGGGGGGAGGAGCAGAGGCAGAGAATCTTCAGGTAGACTCTCTGCTGAGCGTGGAGCCCTAGGTGGGGCTCAGTCTCATGACCGACCCATGAAATCATGACCTGAGCAAACAAGAGTCGGTCACTTAACTGAGCCAATCAGGTGCCCCAAGTTTTGCTTATTTTATAATCGTGACAGTTTATCAATATCTGTGGGGAGGTACTATTTGAATATATGTGGTGTACACTGTGTATTCTTAGAACCATGCTCGATGCCAGAAAAAGTGAGAAAAGGTTCTGCTTTCAAGGATGTTAGAATCCAGTTGGGAATATAGGTTACTCATTCATAGCCTAAAACTTCACAGCTGTTAAAGAGAATAAAACGATTTCTGAAGTCATCCTTAGATCTGAGTTCTAGAATTCATATGTGTCCCAAGCTCTAGGTCTCTATGTCGAGGGCCTAAGGAACATAGATGTAGAATTGTATTATAAGACTTGACGCAAACTGAATGTAAGAAGGAAAAAAAAAAAAAAAGAGACTTGACCCTGAGACTTTACCATGGCCATAGAAACATCTATAAGAATTAATGATATCTTGTGACATAGTGACCATGAATCATTTTTCAGCATTTTTGTGCAGGTGAAATAAATTGGTGGCTGGAGCTTGATGTGGAGAAATGAGGTGGGGACTCCCTCCTGTCGTGCCTTTTCTCCAGTGGCTACTTCCTATAAGTTAAAGTGGGGCATATGGGGAAAGGAGCCAAGAAGAAGAGGGTCTTGTGTAACTTATCTTCAACCCCGACTATTCCTGAGCCACATCACTGCCCCCTAGAAGCTATTTCACTGCCCCTTTCCAGCAGCTGGAAATATTCAAGGTCTCCCAAAGCTCAGGGCAGAAGCTCTTAGTGACTACCTACAGGGACAGCTTAGCCAAAGAATTCTTGCTTCTGCCGGTGAGTGGTAAGTGTCACGGGAAGCTTGAACACATCCAGAAGGAAGACCGAAGCACGTTAGCAGCAGCTCAGAACATGTTCTATATAATTCAAAGTCTGTAGATAATTGAAAGCTAATCATTCAAGCCGTAAGCCTTTTCGACAGAAATATTGCTGACACAATTTTTTCATAATTAACCTTTTCTTAGTGTCATCATCGCGTACATATTGTCATCTATATTGTACAGTCTTAAACAGCCATGTCCTTAAATGTCATTGCTATGTATCAGATTCACTCTTAGCTGAAAGCACCCAGTCTGTAGAACAATTCTGATGAGCATTTTCACCCACATCCCTTTGAGCCAAAATCTGCATTGCTTTCAGCTCTGCCATCTGGCTCTCCACCAGATGGCCTGTGGTCAGGAAGAAAGAGAAAGGAGCAATACCAACAAGCCCTCCTCTTATGTCTGAGCTTCAGGATGTAAGCATTTCCCAGAAGCCCTTGCTTCCCAGCCAACATTCCCCGGAATCCCATTGGCCCAGCTGAAGTCACAGGGTCATTCCTGACTCCAGGGGAGGTGAGGAAAACAGTATCCAACAGAAAAGAGTGAGATGGTGATGACTGTCTCAGTCCAGTGCTGATAGGTACACTGGAGGTATTGTGAACTCAACAGTGGTAGGTTCTGTTAAGAAAGAGGTGAGTAATAGTTGGGGCAACAGACAGTGTCTGCTGTATCACCCCCAGAATCGCTGTGAAGGTAAAACTACTTAATCCACGTAAAGTGCTTAGACCAGGGTCTGGAACAGAGCCATATGTGTTAGCAACTGTCACCATCGCTGCTAGTGCATATAATAATACAACGATTATCATCACTATTATTGGCTTGTTGTTTTACATTGTTTCCACAAATATGTCTTTTTCCTTCAGTGTCTTCCACGCTCCCCCCACCCCAGTCTTTTCTCTCCAGTTCCTTTTACTTCTATCATGCTTTCTGTCGTGCTTCTCAATTTTAACACTATTTAAGACTTAGCCTTTTATAAACTGCTCATTCCTTGGAAATGCCACTTTCTTCTGGGCTACTGAGCTAACAGCTAAATTAAACACAAAAAATTTGCCAAGGACTGGGCTAAGCTTTTTACCTGAAACACTTTAATACTCATTGTACTATTATTGTCACCATTTTGCAGGTGAGGAAACTGAGGTAAGTAATGGGCCCAGAGTGACAAAGCTACCAAGTTGTAGAGAAGAGTAGGCCTGCTG